GACAAACTTTCCATTAGCAAACATTTGAATTTCTGTGCTGTCTTTCTGTAAATATGGCTCACTTCAGCTGCTCCAAAATTCCAAGATGAAGTTGATGAATTTGGCCCATTGAAGAGATGACCTAGACAAATTTGCCAACAGCTTTGTGCTTATCGTGTTTGCAAAAACCAGTTGGGAGTTTGGCCTGGACAAATCAGTCTTTTGACAGAGCAGTTAAAGAGCTCAAGGGTTTTTTTTAAATAAATAAATAAATAAATAAATAAAAGAAAGAAAAAAAGCATTCTTTGATAAAAGTGTTCTTCAAGCATTCGTAAAGGGTTCTTAGCTTCCAAAAAGGATTCCACTTGTAACCCTTAGGTGAACTGAAATTCTTTAACATCCCTGTCATGGTTTAAAAAGAAAGGGCAGCAACGGCCATAGGGATTACACGGGAAGTACACGTAAGAGTGCGATTGTGACCACAGTAATGGCCATAATGTAAACAATATATCACAAGCACCGCAGCTGTTTGTTTGTGGTTCAATGCTGTACCAACAGTGCAACAGGATATATGACGTTGATAAGCTGCTTTTAAAGATCTATGACTGAAGTTTTTTGAAGGGTTTTGAACTGAAGGGTTTGGCGTCCTGATTCTGAGCAGAGCAGTGCATCCAAGTCTACTCATTAGACACACAGTAAAATCACTGGCGATAAATTAACTTCTGCAGAGTTGAATGGTCTCCTACAGAGTTTCATTTGATGGTTTTTAACTCCACAGGCATTAGTTCAACACTACACATACCCAATCACCACACAATAATGCTGAGAAAATGGTTTCCATTATCTTTGAATGGTACCATATTCCATGCTTGATAGAGGCCTGAATTTTAAGCATTTTCCCAAAATTCATTAGTTTCTGCTCTCCTCTGGGAACAGTTAATAGCATCACTGTAAACATGTTGGGAAGCCTCCGATAGACAGGGGTCAAAATTCCAGGGTTTAATACAGTTCACAGGATTTTACATTGAAAACAAATGCTTTTTGTAAAAAAAAAAAAAAAAATCTCCAGTGGAACAAAAAAATTCATTGCTAATGAAGCACTATGCTTTTCTGTGGGATGAAGCTGTCAGAATGTGCTAGAAAGCCTACCCTATCATATCGTCCTTGGACTGCAAAGTGTTAGATTTGCAGTCTTCTGATTTCTGCTTGGTTTCCAAGGCACTGCTGAAATGCTAAGCAGATGGCCGATTGGGAGGATTGCATGTGGTTGTCTGAGTGGTGGGGAACTTTTGTCCAAAACCCCAACTAGCAGATCTAATGGCAAAGTGAGTCATAAGCACCCTCTGAGAGGACCGTTTTCATTAGACACATGTGCAAAAACCTCAAGTAGAATTTATTTTCTAAATCTAATTAGCAAAAGAAATCCATGCAACATGACTTCATTCTGACTTGCCATTTGATCCCATTATTTTATAAGAAGTACTTATAGGACTTGTTTACTGACTGAGCATAAGCCAGGCCATGTATTATAATTTCTATTAGTCAATACAAAAACTTTATAGAGTAGTTATCAATTGAAATACTGTCTGTATGAATTTCAACAACAGCATATCTGTCTAATGGGAGTTTTTAAAACATAAATTAGTGATCCCTGATCCCATTTCCCCTTTTTTTGATACAATACTGAAATCAGAGCTCTGAGTAGAAGCTGATGCCCTATCCTGGACTGATTCTGACAGAGTAACCACGGCAACGCTTCTTCATTTCTGTTGTCATGTGGGTGATGTGCATTACAAAAAGTTGTGTCCTGTGTCGAAGTGCATGATGTTTGCTGCATTGATGTCATAAAATACATCACTGATTCAGATTGGAAAATATTTCAGATCTGATCAAATACTGATTTAGCTTATATTTAAGGCCAGCATCAGCCTATATTAATGACTGAATCAACAGAGCAGAATACAGAAATTGTTGCAGTGTGCTCTGAAGAACCCCAATGCATGTGATTTCTTAGTAGTACTCTGAACAAATTATTTGAAAAATAACTTCCATCAGTGATTATAAAAAATAATCAGTTGTTGTGAACTCACACTGAAACAAGCAATAACACATAAATTACATTAAGTGCCTATGTTTCCTAAATTTCATGTACATGAATCAATATGAGAAGACATCCTTGGCTCATTGGAGATAAATCTTGTCTTGTAAAATCATTAAAATAACTGTAAACAGCCAATAACACTACATGAAGCCTGACATAGTAAAAGAAGAAATATGGGGAACAGTTTGCACTTTGCGGTTACTCTTTTCCCATTCCACGGATGATACTGCCAACAGGTCTCCGAAAAGGGTTGTGTCTTTAACAGATGTAGACCGCTGGCCTCATTTCCCCCAGCTGTGCTATTGTGCTTGCATTCTCTGGCAAGACAAACGGATGCACAGCTACCTAAGCGTAAGGAAATGCATGTAACCATGTAAAAAGAAAACAACAAACGTGCTCTCCTTTGTCTGAGAGACCACATATTGAACAGGACACAGAACATTTATTAATCTTATTTCATGAATTATGCTTATAACATTACACAAAAACATTGCTTGGTACAATAATGTAGATAGATAAAAGATAAGAGAACATCTTTGTAGCCCAATCAGTGTCTATATAACAGCTTGCTAAATACTAGGCTAACTAAGAGTTAGCAAGTATATAAACTAACACACTCAGTCCAACAGAGAGCACAGGGATGCTAATGAGTCATTCAAATATTACATTTAAAAACCCAGAGTATAAAAACTGTATGAATTCTAGTATTTGAGAAACAGGTTATGACACTGAAATGGAAAGAAATGTCCAGCATACTCAGACAATTCCAGTGTTATAAATCTAGCATTTAAACTAATACTGACTTACAAACTGTTCGACCAGAAGCTTAACACACATACATACACTCCCTGGCCACTTTAATAGAAACAGCTGTACCCCTGCTCATTCATGCAATTATCCAATGATCCAGAACAGGAATCTGAAGCTACAGTGAGCACAAGGTCAATTAAACTGCACAGTTGAAGACTGGACAAACATCACATGGTCTTTTTGCAATCTTCAACTGTCCAGTGTAAGTGAGCCTGTGCCCACTGTAGCCTCAGATTCCTGTACTCGGCTATACAGATATTCCTAATGAAGTTGGCGGTGATAGAAAATATATTGCAAAATTTTCAAAAAACAACAAAGTATAGTTTTAACCATATTAACTGTTTTGGTAGATACTAAGAAAGCTTTCATTATGGAGGCAAAAAAAACCTTTTGTGTCATGGATCAAAATTAAAACTGAAACAAGATTAAGAAGGAACTAAAATGAAACAAGAATCTCCCCCAGTGAACTCCAAAAACAAGTTGCTGACAACGTTAGGTTAAAAAAAAATAATATGGGTCTCATGATCACTGTCTTGAAACAAGGCGGTGTGGCTGGGTGAAACATTGTTTTTCATGTGTGCATCTCTTTTAATGGATTAATTATACAATTTCCTTCCATCAGAGCAGGTAAATATAGAACTAAGCAGGAAAAAGTGACTTGATTTTCCTTCTTTTTCTTGGAACTGCCCCAAAATTTTGATATGTTAAAATTCCTCCTTAATGTACTCTTCATAGTAAAGCATGATTAAGCTTAAGAAAACATAATTTCCCCATTTTTTTACATCCTAGATGAGACTGTAAATAGAGATTTGGCACTGATCCAATATCCAGTATCGGTACTTATAATTTCTATAAATCAATCCTATCCTATTTCTGTAGCCTGAAATATCACAGAATTGCTTGTAGCTTAAAGTATAAGCAGAGTATAAGTATAGCTTAACAGTAGCCACCTAAGTAATATAATAAAAGTAATAAAATATAATATACTGCTTTATCATATAAAATAGAAGTTACCCACTTGGATTTTTTTTATTGTTATCATGTCCTCTATGAATGAACAAACACAAAACATATGATCTCTCAAGATGGATCTGCTGCCCAGAATGGCTGTGAAGGCTTAGTTGTATACCTACCTAAAAAGGCCATGGGATGCTAAAACCATGTAAGCAATAAAACAAGAATTAGAAAAAGAATCAGGCAGTCATTAGAGTAGGATTATAAAATAGAACACTTAGTTCAAATATTTCAGATATGTACTCACATAAAAACTGATATAAATATGAGACTAGTACAAAGATATGCAGTTACACTGTAATCAAGCTAAAGTACACTGCTGTGATGGGGTGGTTCAGTGGTAAATATCAACTAATGAATCTGTTCAAAGAAAACACAAGGCCATATGACATCATTACATTTTACAGCACAGGTCAGGAACTGTGCTTTTAAACCATTTGGAGCAATGGGATCCCAGCATCAATGTTCAACTCTTAAAATGTGAATTCTAAATGGTACCAAGGAGATGTGGTATGGGGTGATAATCCCAAAATGTTATGTCAGCGGTTAGGAGCAGGTCTGCTGGATTTCTTGTGGTTAACCATTTGGTGCTACCATTCTCCTTCACGTCTTCATAATTCCCTGTAACTACGTCTTCTTCCCCAATCAGTGCATTGTTGCTTAATCTACCACGGTATTAAGCTGTATTATTTTATTTACAGTAACAGCAGATTATGACCAGATCACATAGTGTATAGACAGGGTAGAGAGGGGAGGTAAGTTAACAACAACCTGAAAACTCTGCACCCGAAAAGCAGTGCAAAACATAACTCTTTGCAGAAATGGATTGTATCTTCTAACCCGAATGAAGTAAAAAGAAAATGAGTTGATCGTTTGGCTTAGCACTTTCATACCCTCAAAATGAATGTATAAAAGTAAAAGTCATTGTCTTGTAAAATTATGGTTATGCAGTGAATACTTATACAACAGATTAAATACTTATGCAACAGATTTGAATTCTCAAATCTGATTGGTCAGAATTTTCTATAACAGCGCGGCTATGACAGTAGTTCCAGCTGCAAGATTTATCACATTTATATAAATGCGCTTGCTGGGGTCCCTGGAGGATTAGTGGTTAGGCCACAGCGCTCTCACCACTGTGGCTCAGGTTTGATTCCCAGCCAGGGAACCAAGCCCAGCCACTGGGGTTGTGTGCAACAATGCGCTCTCAGTGCCAGTCCCAAGCGCGGATAAAATTGGGGAGGGTTGCATCAGGAAGGGTATCTGGCATAAAATCTTTGCCAAATCAAAAATGTGGACCAAAGATCCACTGTGTCAACCCGTAACAGGAGCAGCTGAAAGAGGAACAACAACATATAAATGCTCTTGTTCTAATTCTATTGTTTTCTATAGTAAGAGCTAATTCACAGGGACCTGCATGTCAGGTGCTCCACTTTATTTTGTCTTATTAACTTCAAGAGAGAGAAAAAAGAAAGGGGGAGAGAGAAGGAGTGATAGAGCTTTTAATAGCTGCTATAATGTAAGCGATGCTTTGTGGACCTTCCATAACATTCAGTGTAACTACAAACCGAATGTGTTGTTCTTTAATTAATTTTTAACATGTAATCACTGGCAAAATGCTGTAGTATAAGAGGAATTGCTGTTATAGAAAAATAATCAACAGAGTAACTACACTTCACGTCACACGATCCCAGCACTGATTATTTTATAAAAGCACACCACATCATGTTTTATCTCTTTAATAAAACACATATATGACCTCGTTAACTGTTGTGATCATACATCATCACGGGAGTTGTTTGGTATCTCCTACACAGGAAACAATAAGATTAGTCGATGGTTTTGTTCGGCATATTTATATGTTGAAAGTGGTTCAATAAAAACAATATGGCAACATGTTAGTAACTTGCTGCAAAACTTCATTTTTAGCTTACAATTGAACCCGAACACAAGCCAGCGGTGGCTCGCCAGAAGTGGAGCCCTGTTCAGTTTAAAGAGATTTGGCTCTAGTAGCACACCAGTAATTCAGGAGCAGCTTTTCTGGCCAAATGTGTAAAATTAACAAAGGTTTACTGACAGAATAGTACAGGCTTATCAAGCCAAATGAAACATTTAAACACAAAATCTTTATCTGGTATTAATAGTAGGTACTATTAGTGGATGATTCGGCATAATCCTAAGAAAACTGCAATAATTGTATTGAGTTTCTCACAAACTTAATAACGTTTCTTGTAAAGTCAATCATAACATCAGTAAATTGAGAACTAATTACAAATTTAGACTTTGAAGCTACTCTGTAAAAACCTGTTTTAATGGCAAAAATTAGGGTAAATTACGTCAAAGGCAATAACAGAAAATGCACTTGAAATGCTGTGTGGAGTTTCCCATGTCGTCTGTCTTCTGTTTTAAGTTCTACCTCCCATGAACAATCACAAAATAGTATCCATGTTTCAGCTGCCTCAAAAAGCCCTTAGGTCAAATGCCGGGAGACTGCAGGCAAACCAAGACTGCTGTTATTAACTACTACTCTTAATATTATCTACTAGCTCTAAACAATGTCCATGATCAGCACTACTTTTTAAAGAGATCAGTTATCTTTTGTTGAATGAAAGGAAGTTTTGTCATGCTGTGTGTTTTTGAAGAATACAAGCACTTTCCTCCTAGCAAGGTTGATGTGATTACATAATGGAATGACTGATGAAAGTTGTCAGTAGCGTAAAAGGACTGCCAGCGCGAATTATATGAGCAGTGAAGTGTAACTACAATATGAGGACACAAATATCTCTTTTACTGTGTATTAAGTAGGGATGCACTGATCCCACTTTTTTCCATTTTCAATATAATATCAATATCAGAGCTTGCTGTATTGGCTGATGCAAAATAACCAATGTTATTTAAAATCACACACACACACACACAACATCAATCAGCCCATTAGTACAGACAAGCTGCCAAATCTGATGCAATACCAATACAGCTTTTTTAATCAGCCCTCATACCGAGTACTACTCAGTATAAGATATGTATTTAGTTTACAAGACTAGATTTCCAATTTTATGTTGGCTAGTTTATGGCTGGTTGAAAAGCCACAAGCGATGGTTAATCACACAGTGCAGATTTGTTCTGCAATGCCACATCTATAATCGGTTTGATGACGTTACTGTCCATAAGACTGGCAGCTGTACAACCTGGAGGCCAATAGGACTTGACCTCTTAAGGTCAAGGGGCACCCTGTTGTAAGACCCAACACAAACAACAAGTGGCAGCCAACAACTTAATACAACACAGATCCCAGCACTCATATTAATGAATTATGTTCTGCTGACTGTCATAGGAAAAAAAAAAAAAGAAAAAAAAAAAACCACTGTAAAACTGTATGAGGTTCCAAATGTGTGAATGGTGACTGGGTACGTCTGAGGGAACGTAACACAAAAAATCAAGAAATGTTATACTGTTGTTTCAGGGACCTCCGCTTCTGCAAACCAGTGGAATGTAGCCATGTGTTCTAAACAGGGCTTACACGTTGTAAGATTTAATGAGAGCCATATGAATTTGAGATTAATGAGAGGTGAATTCAATCTTTCAGTAATCCAGTCAGAGGCCAGGCAACCCCGCTTGCCATGTCTGCAACATCTCATCATGCTGTAGGCTGTTTTAAAAAGTGAGTCAGCCTTTATTGCTTAAGAACTCTATGCCCCGTATGGAAGAAAACAAGGCAACTCTGCGCAGTCACACAACAATGAACAGTATTTTTGGTTAAGATTCAATGAACCATACATATTTGGTCATTTGGGAGATGATTTAACCTAAAGTGACTTAACGAAGAAGGCAGATTTGAAAGCGTGCATGTAGCTGCGCAATTGAGGGTTAAATGTGTTACTCAACATTGGGTTTTTGGAAGTTCTGGGATTTGAACTCATGATATTCTGGTTAATGATCAGTTCACTGCTGCCTGCTACACTGAAGTTGCCTAATTACACTCAACTCCAGAAATATCAGCATGCTTCATGAAAATTAATGAATATAATATTTATACAATAAATATACACAGTAAGTAATATTTTGAGCTTGGGCATATGAGGACGCTATATAGTTTTATTTTCACACAATACAATACTTCTAATATAAAATGTGTTCTTAAATAGTTTTTGGAAAATTTGTGGAACCTCCACAATTATTAATTACTGCTGAAGCCTCACATGAACAGAATGACAGTACTGAGTTCTTGTAAAGTCTAACAAGGCTGAAGCATTTGTAGGACTTTTGGGCCACTAAGGTTTGTGCATATTCTAAGGTTTGTGCACGCAGACTGACGTTTTCAAGTCTAATAAGATAATAAGTTTAATAAGATTCCAATTGAAAGATTAAGATAGCCATCGCAATGCATTTTTCCCACAAACTGTGTTCATTTGGATATACAGTATGATTGGGATCATTATTAGAGGTGTAACAATCTGGCGATTTGGATCAATGATTCGATTATTAACAGTACTCCAGATTCTGAACAAAGTTTGCCACATATCGACTGGAGGCTACTAAATCGAATCGTATTGTATCAGATATAGTAGTAGTGTCAAATCTTAAATTGTTGCCTTAAGAATCGAAATCATTTTGTATTGTCTGGAAGCCTGAGGTTAACACCCCTAGTCATTATCTTGCAGCAACATGTTATCATTGTTTGTAATGCTTTTTTTTTATTCATTTTCTTGAAGGGTGCCAATAATTCTGGAGTTGACTGCATGCGTCATCACTGGCCTGTTAGTGAAGGTCAGATTGTAAAAGTCTATGTTAAATACAAGTTTTGAGGGATTCACTATACTGATGTGACTTGTCTCACACACACACACACACACACACACACACACACACACACATACATATAGCCATGCCCAGCTGCTCTGTCCTCTGTCAAGTGCTATTTTAATACCAGCTTCCAACTAGCCCTGGGAGCCTTGTGGCATCTCCTCTGCACAAGGTTAGCAACACCCAGTGAGCTGTTGCCAAAGCAAATGGGCCCCCTGGAGGGACTGGCTATAGGGCTCTTAGAGGGGTCGAGACATTATGGGCTGCTTTTGGCCTGCTGTTCTGTACACTGATTATTTACTGGCTCAGGGCAGAACACGATGAAAGACATTCATCCAGTTCATGTTCTGATAAACCCACGAGTGACTTCACTAATAATGTTTGACTTTTAATTCAATAAAGATAAATATGATCTAGGATAGTGCGCACGTAAAGCATGAACTAGAACTTACATTACAACTTTCCTCCAAAACACCATATGCTGAAGTATGTCAGATAAAAAATTGATGACTAGAGGACCCCACATGCCAGTCTATAAAGAATCATGCTAAGTTCAGCCCCTGCCCCAGAAAAGCTTTTTCCCAGTATCATCTGCTATAAACAGCATCTTCTCAGCTCATTTCAGTCATCCAAAACATATTCTACCTTTAATCATACTTTATCAATAACTCTTATAAAATATCTTATTGCTACCTGTCAAAATTTATAGGAAAGAAGACATATAAAAGCACACCTGTGTCCTATAGTCCTATACATTTTTTTTTATAAATAGATCTATTTCTGAATATTTTCCTCGCTCTGATTGGGAACTGGTCCTCCTGTGTTCACACAGGCCTTACCCTTTTCTCAACTCATGAAACCCACTGAGGAACACACACTTGCAGAAAAGCATGTGAGGGGTCTCTTATCCCACCTGTGAGCAAGAAACAAAATCAGAGGCTGGTGAGGCGAGAGGAAATTTCCTAAAAGCATGCTGTTAATCAGAATCCAGACTTATCCATTCCACTAGTGTCCATTTCATTACATTTCGTACATCACATACGGTCTCCGTGAATGTGGGAACAGTCCTCTGGATGACACACAAAGTGGAAAAGTGTACAGCTAACGAATAGAGCTGATTTCAGGGCCTTGTTGTAGAAAAGATGGCTTCAAGGAGTGAGGTTTTCTGCATTGTTTTGAATGCACTGCTGATGAAGATGGACAATCAACAGACACAACAAAACACTAGCTATGCATGTGACTGATGAGCACCTCGATCTCTACAGAAGGTTATATGGCTATACATTGGGGAGCTTTCGTAATAATGAAGACAGTTTAACATGTTTTACTCACAAGATTTTTCCCTATGTAGTGACTCATAAACTC